GTAGATCGCGCTCTGGGTGCGCTCTCGTACAGCGCTCTACAACGCAGGCAGTCCGTCCCGCGCCGGATGTAGAGCTCTACAGCTCTACAGCGCTCCAGAGCGCTCTACATCTCTACAGCTCTACAGCGCTCTACACTCTACATCCTCTACACCCTCCCTCAGAGGGTGGGCGACGACTAGCACCACACTCCTCTCCTTAAAATCCCTGTGTGGTGGCGGCGTGCCGTCCTCCCATCCCTCCCTTGGGTTGTCTGTTTTCTTTCTTTCTTTCTGCACAGCTGCAGGTGGGGACCCTGTCCTCCTCCCAGCCCTTGTTTTTTTTTCTTCCCTCTCCCCACGTAATGACCCACCCTGTACGGGTCTACGGCGGGATGACGCCGTGCCATCGATAACCATGGCGCACTCAGCCCCGATCAAAAGTGGTTTGGCACCGCGACCTGCGCATTCTCGTCGAGGGCCGAGAGCGTGACGCCGCCGACCACCGGCATCCCCTTGACCAGGAAGTCGCTGTCGTACTGAGCGTAGATGAGCGGGCCGGTGCTGACCCCGTCCTCCCCGCGCGGAAAGTTGGGCGGGCGCTGCGAACCGTCGAGACCCGCCCAGTCGGCCGTGAGGCGGATCTGGTACGCCGCCCAGAAGCCCGCGGGCCACCCCTCCTCTGTGTAGTGCTGCTCCACGACCACGCCCGGGCTGTAGTCCGTTTGCCGCTGCCCGTTCCGCGCCATGACCTCGTCGCCGACCTTGAAGCGCAGCGGCGGCGCCTCGTCGGGCGGGAGCAGCTCCCCCGACAGGGCGGCGGCATTGGTGCACTCGGAAAGGGCTTCCTGTCGCGCGTTCCACGCGACCACTTTTGGGTGCGCGCGCTGCGCCTCATGCAGCTCCACATACGATGTGCCAAAGAGGCTCTCGGGGCACCCCTCGCACGCCTTCATGTGCACGCCCGGAACACTCACGCCGCCGAGCAGACGATGCTTGGTCTGGAAGGCCGGATCCTGCTTCGCCGCTGGAAACGTCGAGCAGTAGAGGTTGAACAATTCTTCGCTGGGCTCCGCGCGTGCGGCCTCCTCAATCTCGCCGGCATCGAGGTAGCGTTTCACATTCTCGGCCTTCAGCGACAGCTGCCTGCCGTCTTCCAGCCTGACGCCATACCGCATGTTGTTGTGAGAGAAGCTCAGTGCGGTGCCAATCTGTCCGTTGAGCGCAGGTTGCGACACGATGCCGTTGATGACCACCTTGCGCGTGCCGAGCAGGTGCAGCATGCTCCTCAGAGCGACAGGGACTTCTGGATTCCAACTTTTTGCGGGGTAAGGTATGGTAGCGTCGGCGCCAAAAGGGTGGGGGGGTATGGTCCTGGCCGCCGGAGGCGGCCTGCTCGACGGGTGGGGGGGTATGGTCAATCGCTGGAGCGGCCACGTTACAACAGGGTTCGAACCCAGTACACAGCCGCCGTACACAGCCGCGGACACGATGCCGACTCACGGCGGCCCCGGCCGCTTCGATACTGTCGCGGGCCTTCTCGCCGCGACGCCGCCTCAACTTCGGCTCCTGGACAGCTCGCTGCCCGACGACGCCGAGCGCGCCGCTGTGCGCAGCTGCTGCGCTGGTACGCTTGCGTCGTGCGTCGCACAGCTCGACGCTGCGATTGCACCGCATGCCGTCCGCATGATGGACGGGAGGCTTCCGACAAGCGACGCTTTCCGTGGCGACGACCACGATCTCAGCAAGCTGAAGGCGCTCAAAACTGTCGCCACGATGGTCCTTTCAAGTTGCTCGACGAGAAGCGCGAGCTCATTGACGAGCCCGAGGACGGCTGCCCGAAGGGCGTCATCTCGGACGCGGACACGGACCACAACGTCTTCAACGAGTGGGGCATGTACTACAAGAGCCCCCACAACTCGGGCCAGCCGCGCAACCCCTTCGAGATGGCGCGCGCGCGCGCGCCCACGGTGGCCGCGCCGCCGCCGCCGGCGGCGGAGGCGACGGCGGCGGAGGCGGTGGAGGTGGAGGCGGAGGCGGCGGAGACGCCGGAGGTGACCATGGCGGAGGCGGAGGTGGCGCCAGCGGAGGCGGCGGAGGCGGAGGCCGTTCCAGCGGAGGTGACCATGGCGGAGGCGGCGCCGGCGGAGACCGCGCCCGCGCCCGCGCCCGAGGTGACCATGGCGGAGGCGGCGCCGGCGGAGACCGCGCCCGCGCCCGCGCCCGCGCTCGCACCGGCCGCGCCCGCGCCTGCGCCCGCGCCTGCGCCGGCACGCAAGGCCCTGGCGGCCTTTGCGGACATGCTCTGAGGGGTGAGCACGATTGCCGGCGGGTCACCTCGCGCAGACTGCATCGCGCGAACACGTGCCGCACGACCGGACGGCCTAACACGACGGTTACTGTGCGCTCGTGTGGTGGGGTGGGGGGTGGGGGGGTATGGTCCTGCTGGCCAGAGGCGACGTCCTGTGCGGGTGGGGGGGTATGGTCGCGGCGCCAGGGCGCCGACCCTACCATACCTTACCCCGCAAAAAGTCCGAACCCTGGCTGAACGCTGTCGAACTGAGGCAGGCGAGAGCGGGTGTGGTCCCCCGGGTTTGGGTTTGGGGGGGGGGGGGGGGGTCCACGCGCTGGGAATGAACCTTCTTTCGTAGAGCAGCCCCGCTCTCAATCCTAGAAGTCGAAGGATTGTGAGCAGCACTCTTCGCAATCGTAGCATCTCTGTGCGATTGTGAGCGCCTACGCTCGCAATCCTACATCTTCTAGGACTACTCGAGTAAGAGCAGCTAGCTTCCGCTCACAATGTGACTGGTGACGCCTACGACTACTACCAGCGCGCTCGCAATCCGAGCAAAGTCTAGGATTGCGAGCAGCACTGCTCACAATCCGAGCAACATGCCTCCGATTGCGAGCAGGAGCGCTCGCAATCCTACATCTTGTAGGACTATGAGGCAGCGGCGGTGCTCACAATCGTACCAAAGATCCAAGGATTGCTAGAACTGCACAGGGGTGCGCTCCCAATCGCTCCAGCCGCGAGCGCTTGTGAGTGAGCGCGCCGGTGGGGTCTCCTCACAATCCAACGGTGCTCGCACCGAGGGGACCCGCTCGCAATCCTAGTACCTAGAAGTCGTAGGACTGTGGGCCGTGTCGCTCGCAATCGGCGAAAGTTCTAGGATTGCGAGCGCTCCTGCTCGCAATCGGAAGCTTGTCGCTAGGATTGTGAGCAGTGCTGCTCGCAATCCTAGACTTTGCTCGGATTGCGAGCGCGCTGGTAGTAGTCATAGGCGTCACCAGTCATCTTGGGAGCGGAGCTGCTCTTAGTCCTAGAAGATGTAGGATTGCGAGCGTAGGCGCTCACAATCGCACAGAGATGCTACGATTGCGAGGAGTGCTGCTGCCTCACAACCTTCGACTTCTAGGATTGAGAGCGAGGCTGCTCTCAATCCTAGCCTTCTAGAAAAGAAGGTTCACCGCCACTGGGGACGTCCGTTACATGCTCATAGAGGGGATAAGGGGGGGTAGGGGGTCGGGGGTCGGGGCGGGGCCTACCCTACCCCGGAAACAGCTCGAATCCTTGGCTGTCGTTCGGCCTAAAAAAGAAGGGATGCTAATCATTAGAAACACTGTGCTGCGCCTCCCAAGCCAATGGTGTCTAAGGGTCTCTGGCACTCCTGGATGCATGCACAGTCACAACGGAGTAGCAATGTTCGGAAGTGTCCGAGCTGTCCCGAGCCGTCCCGAGCCGTCCCGAGCCGTCCCGAGCCGTCCCGAGCGGTCCCTAGCGGTCCCGAGCCGTCCCGAGCTCGTGTCCCAACGGCCTAGATGCTAAAATTCGACCGGCGGGGGCGCGGCGCTTGGGCCAGCTTCCTGCAGGCGCGGATCAAGCCATGGGAGTATGGGGTCTTGGGGACAAGGCTTACGTCGGGCAGCGGCAGATCATCGCAGAATGGAAGGGCCGGAACCTGTCCCTCGAGAAACAACGGTTCAACAAGACGGTGCAGCACTACCGTGGGCGTGTGGAGCACCTCATTGGCCAGGTAGTGGACAACCGTGTGGCTCTATGCACTACGTACGTGGCGTGGCTCGTTCACCCTGCTTGCCGCGGTCATGAAGATCGCGGCGCACATGGTTGGGCTCCAGGAAGGAGCGTATGAAGGGACCTAGGTATGATGTGTTTGGCCCGTGGCCGGTGTGCCCGCCGCACATCGCGGCGCAGTTTCCTTAGTGCTTTGCTGTTTTTGCTGCTAATCTGCAGCACCTCCCTTCTGGTGGTGTTTGCCGGTCGGGGGGGCGTCGGCACCACCGTCGTTCCGCGCGGATGTTGCAAACGGTGGCTCGGGGCGCCTATTTCGGCAGCCCCGGGGCGGGAGCCGAGGAGGGGCAGCCGTTGCGGTGGCGCCATCGCAGCTCGGCGGCGCGTGGGGAGCCGAGCGGCTCCCAGCGATCCCCCGCGATACAACGGCCCGCATCCGTCACGGATGACGCGCCCACGCTGCGCGGCGCAAGAGCGTCATATGGGGGAAGCAGCTGGTCCGCCGTTTTCTGCACTCGAGTACTTCGAAGCGCAGAGAACTCTGCTGGAATTTAGTGGGTTGGCGAGAAGGGGGGGAGAGCCCAATGTGTCACAGACTCCACACCCTATCAGGTCTGCGTTCATCTCCTCTTCCTCCGCTTTTGCCTTATGCCACGCAAGGTGCAGATCCTCCAACTCCTCAAGCACTAGTTCGAAGACGAGCCACATCTTCTCGCCTCGTTCCTGTACGCTCGACATCCCACGCAGAGCCACCCTCATCGCCGCCGTGTCCCGTGGATGATGTAGGAACGACGCAATCGCGCCGAGCGTGTGTCTGGTGCAAGAGCGTTCAAGGCTTTTTCTTGCTTACCGCAGATTACTCAAACGCCCCGGGCAAACTGAGCGAGGTCGTGGGTCGTACCAGGTTAGGCCAAACGTGCAAGTTTGAGAGCAACCCCCCCCCCCCCCCCTCCCTCCCTCCCCCCGCACCCCCCTTCCTCCCACCCACCCTTTCCTACAAAACTCTGTTGTGCGAGGCGTGAACACCGCGCCATTCGCTCTCACCTGGCAACCCTGTCTGCACGTCTCGCGCGCGCGTGAACAGGGCTCCAGGCCCCAAATGACGTGTGAGTGTTAGAGTTGTTTGGTATTGCTAAAAATCTCTCTCCTTTCCTACGCGAAGAGAGAGTCAAGAGAGTGCGCTTCGCCGTGATGAAAAAGGGGGGGAGATTTGTTTTCAAACAGAAATTTTTTTTTTTCCCCCAGGCCCACCCCCCCTCCCCTCCCCTTTCAATTGCCCCCCCCCCCCCCCCCAAAGGTCGCTGAAGCGTCCCTATCGCAAAAAAAACAAACCACGCAGTTTGACTCTGAGGCGAGCCGACACACCGTGCGGACCCGCATGCCTCTCATCACGTCCACCCTCCTCCTGTCCCTCGCCGCCGGCGTGTCGGCGCACGGCTCGCTCGTGATGCCCCAGACGCGGAACGCCATCGACCGCTTCGCGGCGCCGTGGAAGGGTGGCTACCCGACGGTTCCGGACTTTCCGGGCACGGGACGGTGGGGTCTTCCCAACGAGACCTGTGGGACGCGTCCGCCGTCGTGTCAGGAGGGGTGCTCGTGCTCCAACGGCACCGAGGCATGCGACGTTGGGCAGGCTTGCTTCTGGTTTGCATCTGGCGCCACCATCGGCTGCAAGAAGCCCGACGGCGACGGGCGGCGCGACGGCAAGCCGTGCCGGTGCGAGCGGTGTGCCAACGCGACACTCAACAAGCCGGAGTGGCGCACGGCCAATCGCAAGGCCGTCCCGCTCTCGCCGCAGGACTGGACGCGCTACAACCCTTGGAGAGCGCCGGGCACGGCGCCCATCTTTGACGCGTGCGGCATGGCGGGCGGCGGGCCCGTGGCCGGCGTCCAGAGCGGCGAGTACAACGCGACGCAGTTCGCCAAGCAGGGCGACCTCGGCTCCAAGCTACCCGAGGCGCCGACCGGCGTCGTGTGGGCGGCCGGCGGGCTCGGGCAAACAGGCTGGTTCATCCGCGCCAACCACGGCGGGGGGTACGCGTTCCGGCTGTGCCCGAAGGGGGAAGCGCTCACGGAGGAGTGCTTCCGCCAGAGGCACCTCGCCTTTGAGGGGTCGCAGCTGCTGCGGTGGAGCGACGGCCACGTCGAGGAGATCAACGGCACGTACGTCACTGAAGGCACGTACCCCGCCGGCTCGATGTGGGCGATGAACCCGTTGCCCATCAACGAGAGGGCCTTCCCCGCCAAGTGCCG